TAACTTTCTCCTTGACAAAATCCTCTCCAAACACCGTTGGCACACTGCAAGTTGTCGATTTGGGCCCACTAGTGAATATTCTTTTATTTAGATCTCCGTCACAGCCCTTATGTGCTGCTTATTTCTCCTAGCATAGACTTCTTTTGGTCCCCAACATAACACAAAATGACCTTTTATAAGTTTGAACAAGTGAGGGTTCAAGATCTAAATTATGAAGAATTAACTATCCCATAAGTTTAAGTTATTAGGTAAAGGCATAAGAATGGTTTTTATATTATACTCACTCACCCAAAAACCCCATGGGCCTGAAGTGTGGACAGTGCACAAGCCTAACTATTCTGTGTGGGAGTTAAACCTTTTTTAGAAGAACGGTGATGCCATGGTACCCAAGCCTCTATGACTAGGTTATATTTTTAACATCTACCACTGTAAATCAGTTGCATCAAATGTTTATGGGGACAACAGTAGATCCACTTTCATATTTTTTTTTCTTGTATTATTCAATCTATTAACTTTGAGATTAACTCTTGTTTATTTATATCACTTTGATTTTGAGAGCATGGTTCTGTCAATGTTACTAGGGAGAATATAATGTAGGAAATTAATAAATTTTGAAGATCTCAGTGGAAGTGCAAAGGTTGAACAAAGTATCTTTTTCCCTGACAAGATAAAAACAACAAATTAACTCAACAAGCATATGAAAAAAGGAACTACAATTGTATCGAAATATTATCCTTCAAGCTAATTGTTATCTATCCGTGTAGGGGATGTACTTACTCAGCAATATTGCATGTGGAAATGAGTCTCATAAAGAAGCTGTCATGCAGCTACTCTTTTCAAAAGCTGAAAACGGGTCTCACTCTTTCTTTAGCCAGCTTTTGCTGAGCAATGACAGTCGTTTACGGCCATCTGCCCTTTGGGTCATAGTAAATCTCACATTTCCTTCAAGTCCTGGTGCATTTGATAGGATTGTAAAACTGCGTAGTGTTGGAATTGTTTCTCAAATCAAGAAGATGGTCAATGATCCTTGCATGGATGTGAAGGTCTTTTAATCTTCCTTTCAAACTGGTCTTGTTCTTTACTTCCTCTAGACTCGAATACATGTAAATAATAATATATTCACGCTTAGATTTGCTTTGGTGGAAATACTTCCTGCAGTCATTTAATAATTTCTTTTGTTGGTGCAGCTTCGTGCTAGACAGGCACTTGGGCAGATTATTACTTATGGTGATAATTAATTGTGATCAGTTACTTCATTCAAATCCCTTGAGCTACAGGCAAAGAGAAATCTTGATAGAACTCATGTAAGGTGTATCCAGTCTTGTGCTTCAGCATCAAATATGGTACGTATGAGTTGATGTATGTCAATGCCTTATCATCTTTTCTAGAAGTTCATTTCTATTCTATTTAGGGAGATCACTGGCAAACTTTATTATGCTATGGAAAATTGGTATTGTTGACTGTTATTTTGTTATTAATACCAGCGTAACCTTGATCAGTTAACATGATGGTAAAACTGTATAAAGTTGGCAGTGGTTCAATATTCTATGACAGGAAAGCAACTTTATACAGTGAGCTGATGATTCTATTTCTTTCATCTTCGAGATATGTTCATATTTATTTAGGGCCTGCGAAGTAGTCTTCTGGTCGTGGATGAATATTTATTTTTTCTTCATTGTTTTTCATACTTTATCACCCTTTTTTTAACTTTATTTTTTGTGGTGCTATTAGTTTTTCAACATGGTATTCTATTCTACTTTGTCATACATTTTTTTTCATGCTTCCTTTGCAGGTGTATAAAATTACTTGTATTTTTGAACCTAGTCAGAGCAGTGTGAAAGTTTTTTAATTTTGTGAGCACTCCTGACCAGGTTACCCCAAAGCCTCTCTTGCTCACTTTGCATTACCTTTTGAAGTCGGAGGAACAAAGTAGGATTTTACAGCTTTTTTAGGTTGTACCATACGAGTAGTAAATGTTCAATTTTAGAATTTAGTTTCGATTTCATTCTGATTCTGGAACACTGACAAATGAGTGAATTGTATGTGTAAGCAAAATGTCAAGGGGATGATCGAAATTGATCTGTGCGTGTCTTGTAAAATTTATTTTCTGGGTCATCAGATTACTCCTGTTTCTTTTGGAGGGGGTAAAAGCAAATGACCAGTTTTTCTAACCAGTCCCAAAGAATTAGTTTCAAAAATCTGAATGCTTGATAGTGCAAAAAACGCGTTGTGAACCCAACTTGGTATCTGTATTTTTAGTAGCAACGCATTAATTAATTAATTTATTAAGCTTAATACATGTCATTTAAAATGAGATAGTTTACAATGATTGGAATAACGAAACCTTGAAGTTCTGGCGAAATACGAAGCTATTTTTTGTCTTTGGATGAAACTAACCAAGAAATTTTATAATAATAACATCAGCTACATACATTCCGAAATGAGTTTGCCAAATTTGTGTGATGAGTGAGAAGAGATGTCATCAATAATTTGTAATTCATCTCAGTCTAACATCCCCACAAACTTGTATCGGACTATAATTGTTGTTTTTATCTATTCATTATCTAACAATAATCAAAATATTAATATCGATTATATATAAAAATAATAAAATATATGTTTAGACAAAACTAAGAAATAAACTCATGTCTAAAATATAGGAAGGTCTCCTTTTTACATAATGTAGCTGCCATTATAAGTAAACTTGTATTTAGTCCAGCGGTTCGGAGTTAATTTAGTCATTTGTTTGAATAAAAGGTATTTAAGTAATTGGTTTAAATTGAAAAGTGAAAATAATCAACGGGTATTATACTTTAAAAATTTATTACAGTTCAAAGAAGAAGATATGGTCTATTGCTAAAAAAACATCTAATAATTATGTTTGCACGAATTCTGTTTGTACATGTTTATGTTTGATACACCTGTAGCCTAAGGTAAAATAAAACTCTGTCGACATTTTATGAGAATTAAATTAGAAAAGTTTACTTGACTTTTTTGTAAGACTTAATCTAAACACTTTTTATTATATTATTTTTTGAAAAAATATCTTTAATTGCGAGTAAACTTGTGGATTTAAGTAAATTAAAACAGCTGTATTATAGATAAAAAAAAATTAAGAAGAAAGCCAATATAAATATGTAAACTTGAATAAAGATACTTTTAGTTAATATCATGAATAATTTATAAAAAAATTATAAATTTTAAAAATTAATACTAGTAACTGAATCAACTATAATTCTTTCCAAAATATTTAAGACATAAAAAAGTTATCAATGGTTATTAATCTTTTAAATAATGTACTGAGTCTTAAAGTCTTAAAAAGAAGGACGAGAAGATCCACGAGTTTTTTTTAATAAAAGGGGTTCTTTAGGAAAAAAATTACATAAATATGACTTTTAATTATAAGTGATGTTGTAATTGTGGTTACATTCTAACGAGAAATGTGTACAAAATTTCCTCCTCTTGTAAATTCTTTCGTTTCAAGGTATTTACGACTGCAGATTTACTAAGAGAAAGACAAAAAATGAATTTGACACAAATATGCATCTGAAACCAAAATTACACCTAGATTCGGAAAAAGGTAAAATTAAAAGACTGAAAGAGAAAAAAGAAAACCATAATCAAGCATGCTAACTTCATCGATTTTTCATGTGTTTGAGTCATCCGAAGGCCATATTACAGTTTCCATGAGCCTTTCCCTCATCAACTCCAAGTTTTCATCATGTATTTCTTGATATATCTCAGAGTGATTACATTTCTGCATGGAATAAGAGATGCAGAATAGAAAGGTTATAACTTTTTTAAGTGCATTACTCCTTCACAGAGCTTATAAGTTGGAGTCAATACTTGACCATTTGCCAAAGGTGAAGCCGCTGTATCATCACTCTTTCAGCAAGTTCACGTTGCTCCTATCAATGGGGCCAAACAAAAAATCACACATTTTCCATCAAATGTAACTATCAGAACATGTGTTTTACAGAAAATCATGTGATTCAAATTAGGACTGAAAGTAGTGTGATTTAGACACAGCATGCTTGTGAGGATGATTAGGATTGGAAAAACACTGGCATAGGAAGAAAAATAGCAACTCTTGACACCAGAAATGTTGGTTGTATTGTAGTACCTTTTCATTTAACAAATTTAAACATGTCATGAATTACAAAATTGTAGAAAATTTACAACAGAGTAATCAAAAGAAAAAAACTAACTACCAACTTTCTGAAAATTATCAGCAAATTATATAACTTGTCAGATTACATACCTTCCCCAGGGATCGTATGAAATTTTTCCTATCAGCTGGATCGTTTGTTGCAACGAAACTGTCAACATAGAAAACACAAAATAACAATTAGCTAAACAATAAACTTACCATGCTTACAAAAAGCTAATCAACGTTTCTATCAGATAAATGTTGCAGAAAACTAGAAACTGTGAAAGGTATCCGTCTGCATCATTGAGATACACATTCATGCAGTCTCAAATAGACTGTGAGACTATTTGACGTTGAAAGTCTCGTATCGATCAGAGATAAGATTGAGTTAAACTTAAAAGTCAACATGGTATAAAAACT